AAAAAAAAAAAAAAAAAAAAAAAAAAAAAAGGAAGAAAGAAAAAAAAATAGGGGGTGAAGAGAAGTTTCCAAACACCTTGATAGGGGAGCCCCATGCACCATGGTACCAAAGCCACTGGTGAATCCCCCACTTGAGCTGCAATTAGACTGAGAGAACACAAAAATTTAAGTCTTGATAGGATTTTGATGAAAGTCAGAGTGCTTACACAACCTTTATGTTGAGGGAGGAGACCCTTAATCACCCTTAAGCATCTCAGACCGTCCCCACCTTGACTTCCACACTGCATTTCAACAGGAGAAGTAAAGGCTGGCAACCGTAATCACCCTGCTATAGATCGCAGGCATGGTATGGAGGAATCTTTCTGGAAAGCATTGTTTTTACTTAAACAAGATCAAACCCCCACCTAAGTCACTTTACCCCACACCTACTCCACAGCCCCAGACCGTCTCCCATGTAATTTCTAGAGCTGTAAGCCTTTAAGGGCAGGGACTTTCTCTGTGAGCTGGAGCTTGGCTGTTAAGCAACTATGCTGCCTCTCCCTTCCCAGTTCCGAGTTCAAGAGGTCTGTTTCTCAAGGCTGCTCCCGCTTCAATGAAAGAAGTTGTGTTTCCTTATCTGGAAAAAAAAAAAAAATTTCTTTTTTTTTGAGATGGAATTTCGCTCTTGTTGCCCAGACTGGAGTGCAGTGGTACAATCTCGGCTCACTGCCATCTCTGCTTTCTGTGTTCAAGCAATTCTCCTGCCTCTGCCTCCCGAGTAGCTGAGATTACAGACATGCGCCACCGTGCCCAGCTAATTTTGTATTTTTAGTAGAGGCAGGGTTTCACCATGTTGATAAGCATGGTCTTGAACTCCTGACCTCAGGTGATCCACCCTCCTTGGCCTCCCAAAGGGCTGGAATTACAGGTTGTGAGCCACTGCACCCAGCCTTACCTGAATGTTTTATAGGAATGGAATACCTAGTGTTAAAACTCGTGCTCTGAATGAAGAAACCTCCCCCCACCCACGCAAACAGGCTTCGTGTGAGCAACATGGCTGTTTATTTACCCAGTTGCAGGCGGGGTGGGTCTGAAAAGAGTCAGCGAAGGGCGATGGGATCGGAGTTGGTTTTATAGGTTTGGGGCGGGCAGTGGAAAGTTACAGAAGTTACTGTTTAGGGCGGCTTTTTGCAAGCTGGAAGGGGGTCTTAGGGTGTGGCCTCAGGAGGCTGACCAAGGTCAGTTACAGAGTCCAATGGCCTTATCGATTGGGGCGGGAATAAGGAACGATAGAGAATGTCTCAAATTTAAGTAGGCACCCCAGGGGTGGATCATTTCTTCCTCTTCATGGTCTTCCAGTTACTTTAGATTTTCCAGGAACTCAGGTCACAGAGGTTAACATGGCATCCGTGGGGCTGGCAGTCAGCCTAAAAGACCTTACACCTAGTATTGTAAAGCCAAAACCTGTTATTAAAGTCCTAATGGAGACTGCGGTTAGGAAGGCAAGGGTTGATGGAATTAAGGTAAAAGTCTGTAGGAAGAACAGAGTGTTTGAGCAGGCTTTACGTGAAGTGGCTGCTTCTCTTTTACCTGATTATATTATGGGGGTGGACACTGGCTCTCACTGGGCAGTTTCCCCTACTTTCTTAGTCCATTTTATGCTGCTATAAGAGAACACCACCGATGGGTAACAGATAATAAATAGAAATGTATTTGGCTCATGGTTCTGGAGGCTGGGAAGTCCAAGATCAAGGTGCTGGCATCTGGTGAGGGTCTTTTTTTTTTTTTTTTTAAAGACAGGGTTTCACCATGTTGGTCAGGCTGGTCTTGAACTCCCGACCTCAGGTAATCCGCCTGCCTTGGCCTCCAAAGTGCTTGGATTACAGGCGTGAGCCACCACGCCCAGGGTCTTCTTGCTGAGTCAACCCATGGTGGCTGGCAAGAGTTAAGAGAGAGAAAGAGAGAGAGAGATCCAAGCACTTTGGAGGCCAAGGGGGGCGGGATCACCTGAGGTCAGGAGTTCAAGACCAGCCCAACCAACATGGTGAAACCCCGTCTTAAAAAAATAAAATAAAAAATAAAAAAAAGAGAGAGAGGATTTGTCTGATAACAAACCACTCCCAGGGTAATGACATTAATCCCTGCCTGAGGGCAGAGCTCTCGTGATGTAATAGCCTCTTGTTAGGCCTCACCTTCCAACATTATTGCACTGGGGATTATGTTTCCAACACGTGAGCTTTGGAGGACACATTTAAGCCACAGCAGCTCCCTAGCATTGTAAAACAGAAGACACATAAATCCTCCCTTCAAGCAGTATTAATTGGACACACTAAATGAAAACGAGCGAGATTGCCCAAGCCACACAGTGTGGGAGAGGAGCCGGAGTGGCAGTGGTGACAAATTCTCTGTGCAGTATCTCCAGGTGGGGCGTAGCCTGGGGACGGGGGACAAATCCTGAGAGAGCGCCTCCCACCAACGACACCTGGGACTTTTTCTTTTCTTTTCTTTTAATGCAGGGTCTCACTCTGTCACCCAAGCTGGAGTGCAGTGGTGTGATCTCAGCTCACTGCCGCCTCATCCTCCTAGGCTCAAGTGATCCTCCCACTTCAGCCTCCTGAGCAG